CTCTCATTTTATTGTATATTGCACAGCTTGTTATTGCTCACTTGTCTTAACGTAACTTTTCATTTTGTCATTTACTTATTCTTATTATTTTGATTGATTGATTTTATTATACGAATTTGTATGTCCATTTTATTCATGTTTTGTTTATCTAACGTAATTAAAATTCCATTGTTAAAATTTACTTGTGTTTTGTGTGACTTCTCCTTACCTTACCACAGACGAAGTTCCAGATTTTCTATTTTTTTTATTCTATGTGACGAGGCCATACCCCTAGCTTTGAACAGCCGAACACCAACGCGTTACCGTCACAATATATATATATATATGTATATATATATATGTATATATATATATATATATATATATATATATATATATATATATATATATATATATATATATATATATATATATATATGCGAACAAGGCTGAATGGTCCCCAAGACTATATGCAACTGAAAACTAACACCCCAGAAGTGACTCGAACCCATACTACCAGGAGCCACGCAACTGGTACGTACAGGACGCCTTAATCCACTTGATCATCACGACCGGACAAAAACTGATGGTAGCCGACATACCATACATACCAGTTGCATTGCTCCTGGCAGTATGGGATCGAGTCACTTCTGGGGTGTGAGTTTTCAGTTTATATATATATATATATTATTAAATATGACCGAAAAAGTAAGGTTAATAATTCTAACACGAATTTTCTCGATCTTTCTTATGTTTCTTTTCACTGTTGATGGTAATTGAAAAATCAATTCTCCAAAATTCATTTTTATTTCTAGTCTGACTAGACTAGAAGTAGAACAGAAGTAGAATATAGTTGTGACAACTATATTCTACCCACCTCAAGACTCCGCTCCAATATAGAAGCATCAAGAAATATGGACCAATAGGCTTTCTACAAACACTTCTATTCAATACCCATTGTTTCTGTTCTGTCTTGTGTTGATACTTTTAATACCCTATTAATATCCCCTCTTGTTCTGTCTTGTGTTAATGCCACATCACCCCTCCCACCTCACTCAAATGTAGATACAAAATCAGAGATACGTAAGTTCTAATCAGTTGTGTATTTGTGAAGTCTTTGAAAATGTAATAAGTTTTACGAAACGCGCCCGTGTCGCGTCAGACTAGAAATAAAAATGAATTTTGGAGAAGTGATTTTTGATTTACCTCCAACAGTGAAGCGTAATGTACGAAAGATTGAGAAAATTTGTGTTAGAATTATTAATCTTACTTTTTCGGTCATATTTAATAATATATGTCTACAGGAAAGACTGCTACCAAAATATACTAATATATATATATATATATATATGTCGTACCTAGTAGCCAGAACGCACTTCTTGGCCTACTATGCAGCGGCCCAATTTGCCTAATAGGCCGAGTGATTTTCTTTATTTTTGATAAATTGTTTCCAATTAGTTTATTTGAATTATTATTATTATATTGTATTAAGACCATAATTTATGGTCTTAATTTAATTTAGTTTAGGTTAGATTAAGATAGATTAGGTTAGGTTAGGTTCGGTCAAATATCTACGTTAGGTTTAACTCAAATTAAAAGTACTTAACTCATACATAAATGAAATGGATAGCTTTATAATTTCATAAAAAAAATTGAAAAATATATAAATTCAGAAAAACTTGGTTTATTAGGCACTTTCCTATTAATAATATCTTTCAGGACACTTTTCTCCATTTTATGAACCATCAAAAAGAAGTTCCTGTAAAACAGTCTAATAGGGGGTACAAGTGTTGTGTTAGTTGACTCTTCAGAGGTTGCATGGCGTTTCACCTTTTTTTTTATGACGTTTTCAACATAACCGTTAGAGAAGCCATTGTTGACTAGGATCTGCCTTACCCTACAGAGTTCTTCATCGATTTACTTCCATCCTGAGCTGTGACTGAGAGCCCGGTCGACGTAAGTGTTGACAACACTCCTCTTGTACCTGTCTGGGCAGTCACTATTGGCATTGAGGCCCATTCCTATGTTTGTTTCCTTAGTGTAGACTGCAGTGTGGAAGAATCCATTTCTTTTCATGACTGTTACATCTAGAAAGGGCAGCTTCCCATATTCTTCGTCTCATAAGTGAAACTTAACACCGAATTCTGCTCGAATGCCTCCTTCAGCTGCTGCAGATGTCTGACATTAAGTACCTGCATAAAAATGTCGTCAATATACCTGCAATATATAGCGGGTTTCAAGTCCATGTCAACTAAGACCCTCTGCTCTATGGTACCCATGTGGAAGTTCGGAACCCAAGGCAACCCCATCTACTTGCTTATACATGTGCCCATCTGGACTCAAGAAGGATGCCTCTTTAGTGCAGGCTTGGAGTAGCTTTCTTAGTATGCTTTCTGGTATGTCAAGAGGAGTACAAGCCGGATCACGATAGCAAGTCAACAAATTCCTTTGGAGACTTCAGGCTAAAAGCACAAGGTACATAAGGAGTCAGCAGGCAGTTGAGTCACTTAGCCAGTTTGTATGTGGGTGTGGATATCTGACTGATGACTGGCCGAAGTGGGTTTCCAGGCTTGTGGATCTTGACATTCCTACACACATAACAAGATTTGTATTCCTCAATAATCTTTGGCAGGTGGAGTCCAGATTTCTTGGCGTTCACAGTTTCGATCAATCTGTTTACCTTCGTTTTCAATTCGACTGTAGTATCCTTTGTTACCCCTTGGAATTTAGTTTGGTCGGAGAGTATGAGGTTCATTTTTGCCAGATATTCATCTTTTTTAAGAATATTGTATATTGGCGACTTCTCACCTCTCCTGACGTCTATCTCCTTATTCTCACAAAAGCTGCCGCTTTGTGCTCTGGGGACAGTATGGTGCTTCTGTAGTTACCTCGAATCTTTCCTCCTTCTGCAATAAGCTCCGCTTGCAAGGTGTCTTTAGTGGTAACCTTTTGCGTCTCGCAGCAGCTAAGAGCCTTCGTGATAAGGAGATAGTCATCAGGAGAGGTGACAAGTCGCCAATATACGTTATGAGAGAGAGAGAGAGAGAGAGAGAGAGAGAGAGAGAGAGAGAGAGAGAGAGAGAGAGAGAGAGAGAGAGAGAGAGAGAGAGAGAGAGAGAGAGAGAGAGAGAACGAGAACATTAGCTTAAGAGAAAAGCTAAGTACTACCTAATAAACTCCATGTAACCTACCTTACCCCTAAATGTCAACCCATGTCCTGCTATTTTCAATTAATACTGTTTGTTAAACTTGTATAATTGCTGTTTTTGTGGAACGGCTGTTTTTGTTTCTAAGGCAGGATCATTAGATCCTGTCTCTGCGTTGGCTCGGGGTCTTGAAGTAGGTAGGATGTAATTATGTGTTAACTGGTTGTTGATTGCTAGTCTTGACGTTTATATGTGTAGCGCCTCACTTATGTCCAGCCTTTTGCTGTCGACATACCTGTCAATAATTTCAGTGTTGCTTGTTAAGGTGTCTCTAGTGATGGTCTGGTTGTATGAGGAGATTATATGCTGCTTGATGAAGCCTTGTTGCTTGTGCATTGTTAATCGCCTAGAGATGTTGTGATCTTGCCTATATACTGAGATCTTTAGGGCTGACAATCCCCAAGTGGGCATGTGAAGGCATAGGTCTCTCTTAAGGCATTCTATTTGGTATCTGGAGAGTTCTTCATAAATAGGTTAGTGGTCTTCATGTTTTTGTAATACTGTATATTGTTGATTGTATTTTCTGATTGGTGTCTGTGGGGAATAATGTTCCTATCAATAGTGTCTTTCCAGGACTCTTTCCTTCATTTTGTAAGTCATGGAAAAGAAGTTCCTGTAAAACAGTCAGATAGGGGTATGAATGTTGTATTTGTTGCTTCTTCCTGGGTTGCATGGCATGACACCTTCCTTTTAATGGAGCCTTCAACATAACCTTTCAAGAAGCCATTATTGACTAGGATCTGCCTTACTCTACATAGTTCCTTGTTGACGCTTCCAACCAGAGCTGTGCATGAAAGCTCGGTTGACAACACTCCGCTTGTACCAGTCCGGGCAGTTACTGTTAGCATTCAGGCACATTCCTATGTTCGTTTCCTTAGTGTAGACTGCAGTATGAAAACCTCCATTCCTTTCCACAGCTGCTACGTCTAGAAAGGGCAGCTTCCCATCACTATAAATCTCGTAATTGAAACTTAACACCGAACTCTGCTCAAATGCCTCCTTCAACGGCTGCAAACGCCCATTATCAGGTATCTGCATAAATATGTCGTCAACGTACCTGCAGCATATGACAGGTTTGGCATACCTGCAGTATATGGCATAGTAGAAATTGGTACTATTAAGTTTATAAAGTCCTAAAAATGAAACTTAAATAAACAAACTTAAATATTCCTAGGCCTAGTATAGCACACATAAGTACAGTATTATATTAGGCCTCAGACAGCATGTATTAGGTCTAGGAAGGTTAGGTTAGGTTAACTTGTCTTTGCAACATAAATAGAAAATCTTTTTACAGTTTGTCCAAATTCAATAGTACCGATTTCCACTTTCTAATTAGGTTGTACGTTGATATATGTACTGTGGTCCTCATTATTACTATAAGTACTATCAAAACAGGAAGATGGGCTGACATATTTCTTAATGGGACCTAAATGGAGATCATTAATAAATAAAATATAATAAATATGCTAATAATATGTTCTAAATTTTGTTTTATCTTGGAAAAACACAAAATATTTGATTACATTATGAACAATTTGAAGTATTTTTACCATCGCAATTTTTCTTGTGCTTCTGTGGATTATGAGGTGCATGTAATTTTTACTAAAGAACAGATGATTAACATGTTAATCAAGCACATTAACAATGTGCTTTAATATACTTACTAATCTCTCTCATCTCATTTTTTTTCTTGCAATGTATTTCTTATCACTTTATTAATTCTGCTAGAATTTACCTACTTAAAATTATCTGTTAGATTAAGGACCTGCCCAAAACGCTACACGTACTAGTGGCTTTACAAGATTGTAAATACTATGCTATGTATTCTCACAAACCCAATGTACCTTCTTGTATATAAATAAATAAATAAATAAATAAATAAATAAATGTAATATATAAATATATAAGGAATTGTACCATGTATTACAGAGCTGTGCCTTTGTGACGAAGCAAATTGTTCACATAAAACTATGGAAAAAACAAAAATACCTTTTAAAGATGTCCAACTGAGATGGTCAATTCATGGTATTTTTAAAATGTAGCTCTCAATTTCCAAAAAGTATACTGAATTGGTTGGTAGTTATGTCCTGATTTGCATATCAAAATATACTGTACTAAAATTAATGGAACTGAAAATGAAGCCAACAAAATTAATTATAAACATCATTTGGGAGCCAAATAAAATTAAGACTTTTTTCCAAAAAGCAGGACACAAGGCTCATTGAGGTTTGTCACCAGGATGTGTTAATATGTGTAGTATTATACTATTGCGTTGCCTAAATCTTTTCCCACACTCAGTACACTCAAAAGGTTTATCATCTGTATGCACTACCCTATGCCTCTTCATATTTGCAAGCTCATTGAATCTTTTTCCACACTCGGGACACATGTGAGGTTTATCATCTGTATGAACCATTCTGTGCCTCATCATATTTCTAAGACGACTGAACTTTTTCCCACACTCTGGACACTCGTGCAATTTAGCACCCATATGCACTATCATGTGCTTTGTCACAGATTCAAGTTGACTGAATTTTCTCCCACACTCTGGGCACTCATGAGATTTATCACCAATATGCACCATCATGTGAGCCTTCATACTTTCAAGACGACCAAAGTGTTTCCCACACTCTGGACACGGGTGCAGTTTAATGCCTGTATGCAACATCATATGCCTCCTTATTGATCCAACTTGTCTGAATCTTTTCCCGCACTCTGGACACTTATGAGGCTTATCGTCCGTATGCACTATCCTATGAGCCTTCATATATTTAAGTTGGCTGAATCTTTTCCCACACTCTAGACACACATGAGGTTTATCATCTGTATGCACCATCATGTGAGACTTCATACTTTCAAGACGATTGAAGTTTTTTCCACATTCTCGACACTCGTGCAGCTTAATGCCTGTATGCACCATCAAGTGTCTAGATACAGAGCCAAGGTGGCTGAATCTTTTCCCACACTCTGGACACTCATGAGATTTATTTCCTGTATGCACCAACATGTGAGTCTTCATAGATCCAAGACGACTGAACCTTTTCCCACAGTCTGGACATTCGTGAGATTTATCACCAGTATGCACCAGCATGTGAGTCTTCATAGATCCAAGATGACGGAAACTTTTTCCACATTCTGGACATTCATGAGGTTTATCACCCGTATGCAGCAACATGTGAGTCTTCACAGATCCAAGACGGCTGAAAGATTTCCCACACACTGGACACTGGTGAGGTGTCGACATCTTTATGATTGGTAGTTTCTGTTTTATGTTATCTACTACTCCTGATGACTGTAGGATGTATTCCGGTACATGTGACTGGAAATTTTAGTGATGGTTGTTGTTGTGGTAACATTAGTCACTTAGGGATCTACGTACACTTTTACGTTTTTTATGGACAATGTTTGGGCAGACTATAATATATGATATATATATTTTTAAATCAAATCAAATATTTATTCAGGTAAAGCAGTTGCTTAATTTAGAACCTGTACTTGAGGTCGATCTCGAACCCATTGTTGATGTGATGACTTATATTGAATTTTGTAACTAGCTCATCAAGATTGTAACTTGCTTAGCTAAATGAATTGTGGGGTTCAGTCCCTGAGCCCATTATGTGCCTCTGTAACCCTTTCCACTACCGCCCACAAGATGGGTATGGGGTGCATAATAAATGAACTAAACTAACTAAACTAACTATTCAGGTAAAGTACATACATACAAGGTGAGATACAAAACATTGATGGATTTATAGATAGAGCTAGTACATACAATGCCTAAAGCCATTATTACGCAAAGCGTTTCGGGCAGGAAAAACACTAAGACTGAAACCTAATACTAATTGAGATTAGTATAAATTGTGTTGAGAAAATAAAAAAATAGAAAAGTTGGGAACATGGCAGAAAAAATAGCAAATATACAATTTGGTCGACAAACATCATTGTTTAAAATAGTAAACATGGGTTGACATTTTAGGGGTGAGGTAGTTTACATGGAGTTAATTAGGTAGTACTTAGTTTTTATCTTAAATTGATTGGGTGAGGTACAGTCTTTAACATAATTGGGAAGGTCATTCCACATTCTGGGTCCCTTGATTTGTAAAGCATTTCTAGTTTGATTAAGTCGTACTCTTGGAATATCAAATAGGTATTTGTTTCTGGTGTGGTGCTCATGGGATCTGTTACAACCTTCTAGGAATCTTTAAGGTCAGGATTGACATTGACATTGCACTCAAGAATTTACAGCAACAACAACAGCTAGTGTTCAGACGTCTAGACAGTGGTCTACTCCCCCCCTAATCTCCAGCACCAGTGACCCCCAGCACACCTGGTGGCAAGCTCTTGCCACCAGCCGGGAACAAGCACTCTGCTAGTTTGTCTGAGCCCGCTCCCAGTTATCGTCACACCAGCGCCACCTACATTGGTCAAGTTCCATATAAATAGAAGCCGGCCACCACCACCGGCAGACGGGAGACATCTCCCGTCACGCAGGGTGCAGTCGCACCTCCACAGATCTCCAGTATCATCTATTGACACTGGTGATGGCTCAAAAGGGCCACCACTTATGGGCTATTCATGCCCGTGCCACCTTTTGGGTGGCTTAATCTTCATCAATCAATCAATCACCACCGGCAGAATACTCTCTTGTGCTCTTCCTGCGGGACCTACCCTCACACTACCTTGCGTGGTGGTAGATCTATGCAGCCTGGCATACGGTATTTTCAAGCACCATTTTATTAAATAGTCTGTTTGATTGTTTTGCACCCTGTAAATAAGTCAAGTTTTTAAGGAGCTATTTTCAGTTTGTGATTTCTTAGGTAATTTCTACATATTAAAGTATTTAAAATTTTCATTTTTTATGTTTTATCCTGCATTTCCCACACCGTGAAGAAGTCAGCATAGCGGTTTTATTTTAATTTGTTTTCACTTTTCTTTTGTTTATATGCTCGTGGCATTCCATCTGCCATAAGCCACTGCTCTTAGTGATTTCACCGTATAGGTGACGTAAATGGGGATTTCGATGTGGATTCAATATATAACTTATTTAAGAATATTCTAAACAAAGCACAGGAACGTAGTATACCATACAAATTGAATAGATCGAATACCAATGACCCAAAGTGGATAACAAAGAATTTGAAGAACCTTATAGGTAAAAAGAGAGCTTGGTACAAAAGGATTAAGAATGGGGAGGTCACTTTAGAACAGGAATTCGTACAACTGGTTAGAAATGTTAAAAAAGAGATAAGGAAAGCAAAAAGAAACTATGAAGTTCGCATAGCAGGGCAAGCAAAGACTAATGCTAAAGGGTTTTTTCAGTTATATCGTACTAAGACTAGGGAAAGGATAGATCCATTAAAAACTGAGACAGGTCAAATAACAGATAGTGATGAAGAGATGAGTAGTATTTTTAATAAATATTTTGTATCTGTATTTACTAAAGAGGAACTTAACAATATGCCTTCAGGCGAACAAGTCTATGTGGGTGGGGACGAGGACAGGTTGACGAGTTTAGCAGTTACCAGGGAGGATGTTCTTAAACAAATAGTAAAACTCAAACCAAACAAATCCCCAGGGCGGATGAAGTGTTTGCCAGGGTGCTTAAAGAATGCAAAGAGGAGCTTTGTGACCCACTGTCTACCATATTTAATAAATCAATAGAGTCAGGCAGAGTGCCAGAGTTTTGGAAAGTTGCTAATGTGATACCAGTTTTTAAGAAAGGAGATAGATCACTTGCGTCTAACTATCGACCAATTAGCCTAACGTCTATTGTGGGAAAGTTACTCGAATCTATAATAGCAAATAAAATTCGTCTTCATCTTGAAAAACAAATTAATAATTGAGTCACAACATGGTTTTATAAATGGCCGTTCATGTTTAACAAATTTGTTTATCTTTTTATTCTAGCATTGTTGAGGCAGTTGATAGTGGTAAGGATTGCGATGTTGTGTACCTTGACTTTAGCAAAGCTTTTGATACAGTGCCACATGAAAGACTGATTAAAAAGTTAGTCTCGATCATGGTATTGGGGGGTGCTATATTAAACTGGATTAGGGCATGGCTATACAAAAGGAAACAGAGAGTTAGTATAAATGGAGTCAAGTCAGAGTGGGAAAATGTTGTAAGTGGGGTGCCTCAGGGCTGTCCTGGGACCTCTGTTGTTTATAATATATATAAATGATTTAGATTCAGGTTTGAGTAGCAACATTTGCAAATTTGCCGATGATACGAAAATCGGTAGGGAAATTAATTCGGAGGAGGACTCACTATCACTTCAAGTTGATCTAGATAGGGTTTTGAAATGGTCGAAGGATTGGCATATGCAGTTTAATGCTGATAAATGTAAAGTTCTGAGGTTAGGTAATGATGATAGGGTTACAAGATACGAGCTAGATGGTGTTGAGATTGCGAAGTCGAATTGCGAAAGGGATCTGGGAGTTATGATTAGCAAGAATTTAAAACAAAAGGATCAATGCATAAATGTTCGTAATAAGGCAAATCGGACACTTGGATTTATTAATCGCAGCGTTAGTAACAAGACACCTGGTGTGGTTCTCAAGCTATATCTTGCTCTAGTTAGGCCCCATTTAGATTATGCAGTTCAGTTTTGGTCGCCTTATTATAGAATGGATATAAATTCACTTGAACGTGTTCAGCGTAGGATGACTAAGTTAATTCCCCAAATTAGAAATCTTTCATATGAAGAAAGATTAACAAAGCTTAAGTTGCATTCGCTGGAAAGGCGAAGAGTTAGGGGTGACATGATAGAGGTTTACAAGTGGATGAATGGACATAACAAAGGGGGATATTAATAGGGTATTAAAAGTATCAACACAAGACAGAACACGAAACAATAGGTATAAATTGGATAAGTTAAGATTTAGGATAGACTTGGGTAAATACTGGTTCAGTAACAGGGTTGTTGATTTGTGGAACCAATTGCCGCGTATCGTGGTGGAGGTGGGGTCCCTTGATTGTTTCAAGCGTGGGTTGGACATGGATATGAGTGGGATTGAGTGGTTTTAAATAGGAGCTGCCTCGTATGGGCCAATAGGCCTTCTGCAGTTACCATTTTCTTATGTTAACAGTTTAAACCCAAACAAACCCCCCTCCAATCACAGGTTTCAACTAGTTGGCAACAGCAACAACCCTAGCCCTAGATAGATACACCCCATCCCGAGCATACATGTCCTTTCTTCCATAGAATTTTTCAAAGTTATCAATGAATGAACAAATCCACAAGGGCCGTGACGAGGATTTGAACCTGCGTCCGGGAGCATTCCAGACTCTGCCTTAGCTACGACAGGGTAAAATAGTTAAGAAGAACATAAGAACATAAGAACAAAGGTAACTGCAGAAGGCCTATTGGCCCATACGAGGCAGCTCCTATTCTATAACCACCCAATCCCACTCATATACTTGTCCAACCCGTGCTTGAAACAATCGAGGGACCCCACCTCCACAATGTTACGCGACAATTGGTTCCACAAATCAACAACCCTGTTACTGAACCAGTATTTACCCAAGTCTTTCCTAAATCTAAACTTATCCAATTTATACCCATTGTTTCGTGTTCTGTCCTGTGTTGATACTTTTAATACCCTACCAATATCCCCCCGGTTATGTCCATTCATCCACTTGTAAACCTCTATCATGTCACCCCTAACTCTTCGCCTTTCCAGTGAATGCAACTTAAGCTTTGTTAATCTTTCTTCATATGAAAGATTTCTAATTTGGGGAATTAACTTAGTCATCCTACGCTGGACACGTTCAAGTGAATTTATATCCATTCTATAATATGGCGACCAAAACTGAACTGCATAATCTAAATGGGGCCTAACTAGAGCAAGATATAGCTTGAGAACCACACCAGGTGTCTTGTTACTAACGCTGCGATTAATAAATCCAAGTGTCCGATTTGCCTTATTACGAACATTTATGCATTGATCCTTTTGTTTTAAATTCTTACTAATCATAACTCCCAGATCCCTTTCGCAATCCGACTTCGCAATCACAACACCATCTAGCTCGTATCTTGTAACTCTATCATCATTACCTAACCTCAGAACTTTACATTTATCAGCATTAAACTGCATCTGCCAATCCTTTGACCATTTCAAAACCCTATCTAGATCAACTTGAAGTGATAGTGAGTCCTCCTCCGAATTAATTTCCCTACCGATTTTCGTATCATCGGCAAATTTGCAAATGTTGCTACTCAAACCTGAATCTAAATCATTTATATATATTATAAACAACAGAGGTCCCAGGACAGAGCCTTGAGGCACTCCACTTACAACATTTTCCCACTCTGACTTGATTCCAT